CGAGAAGATATATGATGCATTAATTTTATGGAAATTTTGCGTAACTAAACAAAAAAAGGCATTTTGTTCGCGACGAGAAAATACGTGTTTTTATTTGTTTTCGGTCCAGTATTCGCGCGCTGTAATTTGCTAGCGCGCGGTACGGTTTTTCACGATCTGCCCGGTCCGACGGTATCCTGCAATTAAGCTGCGAGCAAAGTTGTATAAAATATAAGTTAAAAAAATAAAAATGTTATTTACCGGCTTTAGTTCGGTCCGTGTAGAAAAACACTGCCCTGTGGTCTTTTATGAACGGACCTCGCTTCGCTCGTTCCGTACTGTCAAGACCTCGGGCAGTGTTTTCCTATACAGACCTCCCAGCCGGTAAGCAAAATATATGCACGACCCTGCCGCGAAAAGTCGTACGGCCCCCATCAAAGGTTTTTAAAGAGCGCGCGTAGGGCCGAAATACGGGTCATATGATATTTGATCTTGCCCAGGTTTTCAGAAGTCTGCTGCTGAAAACGATCATTCGCACGAAGCGCTGGTCGTTGGATTGACTGCCAATAGCTTACATAGGCTCAGCGCCTCACTAACTAAGCTTTTTTCTGCTTTGGATAGTTTCTTAACTGCGGAAAGAATGCAATCAAAATATGCCATAGGACCCTCGTCCTTCGGTATCTGATGCATTACTTGAAGTTCACTCTTAAAMGTTTCCAACTTAATTGATTTTTATATTTTAATATTTTTTATTTTAATCTTAAGAATGTCTAATGACATGCATGATCACTTGTTAAATCAGGGGCCGCAGAGACGGGGGGGGAGGGGGATGCGCGCTTATAGTAGCTTTGTAACACTTCGGTTGGTCTGGTCAAGCTTTAAACGATTAAAGCATTCTCTATTTTTTATAGGTGTCTGTCTATTTTATAGCTAATTCTATCATTCATACCAAATTGATAGACGGCGATGGTGTCGGCCCCTCCAGCACACTGCTCGTTGCTGTTGCTAACATTGCATTTTTCGAAGTTTGGTCCATAGCAGTTATCTGATGCATATTCTGATTTCAATGTCTCCAATTTAAATGGTGAATTACGGCTTGTCCAACACTCTCCTAAAGACGAAGATTGTTTTAATTATTGGTCATTATTATAAGTAATAGCATGGCTGTGAGGGAGATTAGGGATTAAATGTCCCCGAAGCCGAGGGCAGATAAGTTGAAGTCCCGACGGCCGCAGGCCGGAGGGACTTTTACTTATCTGCCCGAGGCTGAGGGACATTTAATCCCTAATCTCCCTCAGAGCCATGATATTACTTTGTAATACCATGATTTCCGAGGAAAAAATTGAAGTTGAACTTGAGCGAATTTGAWTTCTTGTTTTTTTTCTATGCTCCAATGTTTTCAATCGGAAGTAATATAAACATTGCTACAAACAATTAGCATGAATTGGAATGTGACATGAAAAGAATTGATACRCACTGTTCTAAGAGTATCACTCGCCGAACAACAGTACAATTAAATGATATTGATAATCCGACCATTGTTACTGATTTCCCACAACGAACTTTGTTTGAAATTGCTTTTCAGTTCTATTCAATGCTGAAGTTAACGAACCTTAACTTTAACCCTGAAAAGTTGTTTTTATATTTGCAAGTATAATGCCAAGAGACTTATCAACTATTATCAAACATTGAAATTCGTCAAGTGCACATGATTGCTCAGCGGTACCAAGTAGAGACTCGGAACCAGAGCTACTCGGTCAAATTGGCCCAAAAATCATCCCACATGTCAGTGTGACTGAGACGATAAGCAGACCGTTCATTGCAGAGGTAAAAAGAAGACAGCTGTAGGGACATTCAGTTGTCTCTGCTGGGAAGCAAAGGTTTCCTTTGCCTTCCATTCCTCATGAATAACATGAGGGACGATTACTGGTAATCGTCCCTCATGTTATTATGCATGAGGGACGATTACTAGTAATCGTCCCTCATGCCATTCATGAGGGAGGGATGTTCGCTTGTAAACATCCCTCGGAAGACAAAAGAATCCGAGGTGATCATGGTATTATATTAGTTATCGCAGACATAATATTGGATTTAAATAGTTAAAGTGACGTGTTTGCCCGTCATCTTTACAAGTAGGCTAAAGTCTGGCATATAACAACGAATAAAAGAAGAAATCAATTTCAAGTAATTTCCGCTGAATAATTAAAATTCTGAAAGAATAATTATTTGCAAACATTTGATATATGAAAAGTGAGTCAACTGCCCCGTTCTACAGAACGGTAAACTTTTCACTTCTCCGTAATTGTTTTTCTATGTCTTTTTCACGAAAAACGGTTGTAATCAATTGATGTTGGGTTGTTCCCTATTGCGCCCGCGATATTTTCGAAGTATAATCACATCCCGCGCTCCCAGAAAGATTCGTACAATCGGGATGCCGATCATCCTCGAAAAATGCATACATCAAAGAAATAGTCATTGGTTGCTTATGCATTCAATTCGGCGAAGCTTATAGTCCACAACTACCCTAATTTCTATATCTGATCCTATTGAAAGGAAAAGAATTCATTCGTGCATGCGCACTATAGTCATATCATTGCTCACCATAGAACTCAAGACCAAATGTTCTGATTTCGCCGTTTCCTTCCCCAACTCGTTCAGCGCATTTACACGCGAGATCACGCAAGTAGTTGTTCCAATTTTTCCAGTCTATATTTGGACGATCAGTAAGAGCCAGTTTTGATAGAAATTTTTCTTTTGATATCTCATCTATTGATTTGAAGCATCCAACTTTTTTCAGCTGAGGACAATTGCCTTAAGTGAAAGGGAAAAAAGGAAATTTTGAATACAATTTATTAACAATTGTCTTTGGATTGTCATTCATGACTGACTATTACCTTCACCATTCAACGAAAAAACCTGTAAAAAAATGAGATAGTTTAGGTCTGGGGATATTGTATCGGATACATGTTTATGTAGCAGTTTTAAAATCACAGAATAGGTAAGTCGTTAAATCAAAACGTGCGGTACGCATGGGACCCTTTGTCGGTCCATGAAAAATACACTCGATGGCTAATCATTTTCTCCACGTGAGCTTCGCTATACAACTGAAAAACTGTAAACGAAAAATGGCTATTTTAGTGACCATTCCACTGAATTGTGATTTAATAAATGGAAGGTTCCAGTTGTTGTTGCTTGGTAAACGACATTCTATTGTATCTTGAGGAATATCAGCAGCGATGACTGTTGCTATCGAGTATCGATGCTATTATAATATCATTTGTGTGTTTAGAGAGTTTCGTTTTGACACTTTGGAATGGATATCGCTTTCTTAAAAATCATGAAATATCAAGTGCTTGCCGTATGAACAATTAACCATGCAATAGTAAGGAAGTATTTATTATTTCCGAGAGCATGTCCCATTAATGTCCATATGTACAAGCTATATATATCAAAATGTAAAAAACATGGAGTTCTTAAAAATGATTCTCCAACGCGCCAAAACTTTAATCTTTAGCTGAGTACATTTTACATAAAATTCTAGGCCGTCAACACTAGATTTTTCTTTTAAATTTTCTTTAGTTTAAGACCCGGAAAACAATGTCGTCTTCTTGTTAAAGATATTCAAATATTGCGCTAAGACTATTGCTATAGTTATATTTAAAATTATGTTGCACAAATGAAGCAGACAAAACTTACCGCAAATGACAAGCAGACGTAAACGAGTAAGAGTGCTTTCATCAAGGCGACCATCTTGCTGCTTGCTTCAGACCTTTTCTATTGTGAAAGAACAAATTTTGTCTTAGCTTTCAATCAATGCAAAGAAACTGAAACAAGACCGGCGCTCTTTTGATTTAGCAAAAAGATAATGGCAATTCTAAGTAAGATCAAATACTGAAATGTTACTTTAAGTGTGATAAGATTAATGACTTAAAGTTCTTTGTTATGAGATATTTGCTATCTTACCCACGCGAGAATACTTAACTTTGCAGAGGTATATCTTGATATACGAAGGACTTACTGCGCAATGTTTACAAATCAGTATTCGTTTAATTGGTAATTTGCAAAATATATAATTACTTTTCATCACATTCATGCCAATTGTTTCTCAGGTGATAACAATTTTTTTCATTTATATATCGATCGCTCTCATTGTTACATGTTAATTGAAAATGTTGAAACCTAATACTTATTATTATTTTTCAGTGAAATTATTATTATCTATTTTTTTAAGTTCATGCTGACTTTTAAGAGGGTCTCAATGGTGTTAACCGTGAGCCGTGAAACGGCTGAAAAATTAGTCGTGAGTCGTGAAAATGAGAAAAAATTAGCCGTGAGGCGTGAATATTTTTTACAGCGTGAGCAGTGATTCAGTATTGTTCCTCAGAAGGACAGTCAACTCCAGGCGCGCGCTTGTATTTTTTTTAGTAAATTTAAAAAATAAAAGCTTTAGTGGATATTTTTTCAAAATTTTGACTTGGAAAAAAAAATGTTTCACCAAAATCTTCCACTCTCCTCCATCCCCCAGAAATTCTAATGGATCGCACCTACCAACAAGGTCTCCCAGACAAGTCAGGGCATGGACAAAATTTGACATTTGAAATAAAAAATTAATATAAAAATTGAATGTCTGTAACGTACAAGGGACACTGTGCTCCCACACTCACTGTATCTCTAGCACAAAACAAATTACATGAAAAAGTGACGAAAAACGTTGTTTTCATTTCAAAAAATTCTGAAAGTAATCTAGTTAACCGTGATTCGAAAAAATTAGTCGTGAGTCGTGAAATCGCCAAATTTTTAGCCGTGAGTCGTTATTCGTACCACCCCATTGAGACACTCTTTTAAGCACAAGCAAGGTTACAAGTTTTTTTGTTTGTTTTTTTTTTTTTTTGTTTTTACAAAGTTAAAAAGTTTTTAGTTGATTTTCCCTCTTGTTGTTGTTTTTTTCTTTGACAGTTTCCATTTCCTTTTTCTTTTTCATTTTATTTTATTATTTTTCGTTATTAGTTGTAATCGCAGTTCTTAATATTTATCTTTATAAACATTTTCGTTATTAATCATTCGTTAAAAAAAAATCTAAGAGGAAAAAAATACAATCAGTATAAAACTCTTTGTCACCGTTATGACTGATGCCTTGTGAAAGTTCAATAAACGCTCCAATACATCATAAACTGCGCGCAGGTGTAAAACAAGTATCGCCAGTACTTAAGATATATCTTATTTACAACAGTAATATGAGTAATACATGAACTAAAGAAAAAATACATCAACTAAAATACCACTTCCTAGCGAAAACATAAAACGATTTAAAACTAATTCATCAATTCATTCATTTTTTATTATTTATTATTTCTTAAATTAGCCATGAATCCATATCAATATATCAAATCCTTTTTTTATGTGTGTCTGTTATCCAGAAAAATCAGTAGTGTGCATACTTATAAAACAATTAGGGCATGGTTAAAAAGTGCTAATGCTTCTTATCTAACTTTGTTTAATATGTTTTTGCTCTTTTTCGATAATCAAATTTTCGAATTCATGTAAGATATGTGGGCCAAGGTCATGGTACACCTATATACCCCTTTAGTCAGCTAATCAAATGAATCATTCATTTTAATTGCGTTTATATTTCCATATCATCGTTGTTATTTTTATTTGATGCCTTTCTTCGAATATTTGATTCTTTACTTGGGTAGCTGTTTATGTGATAATATTTATCTTAGCTCTTCTCATTGATATATGCTTAGTAAAAAGTAGTTATTCTCCTGAAACTCTGAAAAAATAACCGTTGAAATAGTTGAGCTGTAGTTATCAAGGGATCCCTAAATCTTATGCCATTCTAGCTATTTTACCACTGGAGGGCAGGTTGGAAAGGAATGAAAATATAGCTGAAGGTCGATATATTCGTTCTCTGCAATTTTTGGAAGTTTTAGATAATTTCAACCTTGAAAGGTTGGAAAACCCGCACACGTACACACAAAGAGTTCATTCGAAATTCGTACCGAATTAGGTATGATTTAGCATGATGGTAAAAAAAGAAACGAAAGGTTTTTCATAATTGCTTGATATAGCAGATAGTTGTGGAAGAATAAATGATACCGAGGATCAGTCCTACACCGTGAAACATGAAAAGAGCAAATTTATAAATGTTTGTATGTCAAGGCCAACCATAAAATAGCTTGTATCTCCTCTATAAGTGGCATATACACGCAATATTAGCAATAATTCATTGAAAATGATGCAATCTCAGTATATGGAAGCTCAGTTTAAAAACTATAAAAAAATCATTTTGTGACGTCATAACTTTTGTACTCTATTACGCTGTCCGAAACTTCGGGAATTATTTCATCTTTATACAAATGTCTAAACCGAAGCTGCAGATTCAAGTAATGTATTGATCACTTATTGGCATAGCCGAACACCATGTTTAAACACCCCCAAAGAGATGTACTTTAACCTCTGCGGCAGTTTTGCCCCATATGCTGATCAAGGTTATTTTCGCGCGCTCAAAAAAAATTACCTTTCCGACAAAGCTTAACCGCTAATTAAGGTTAATTTATGACCGCGTAGGTTTCGAAAACATTTAAAGTTTAAATTAAGGATATCCTGCACAGCAAAATTTATTAAGAATAAGACATGTTGACATTTTGGAGAGATAGCATCTTTTTTAATGTAGAGTGCATCGATTTGTTTGTACTATGGATGCTGTAGAAGGTTGAACTGATACATTGAATCTTTTAAAGAGCATCAGAGCTTTTAGTAGTAGCGACTGTCAAATTACTGAAGCCATTCGTTAAACAATTGAATTTTTATGGAATGACGATGAGATGATAATAGGCACCCACTGACAGATTGCATTGGTTGACCATTGCCTCCCTTTACGTCTTGGACCCTTTTAAGAGGATTTCAGAAGTCATTTATTGGACAAAATAACCACCAAAAAATGAACAATCTACCAACTTTCAATGATCATTGGACATTTTGCTCATTAGTTCGGCCTTCACCAGTGCACACTTTTATTGAAAGCATTCGCCCAATAAAGTCTCTCGCTGTTTACCTTCGAGAAAAATTTCCCAAACTAACGGCGCTTCGAAAACTTGACGGTGAGATGACGAGTGAGATTTCAACAACATCAATAATATATTTGGCAKTGATTTTCAAGGAAACTTAATAAATTGACAAGCCGTTATCTCTAGTTTTATGTCATATATGATCTTTTTATCAACAATTAAAGCGTGCCTTGTGTTTTAGCTGAAGACATTAGTGCCGTACATTCATAATCACGGTTGACGTTTTACAGAACGTGCATTTTTATTTTTATTGAGGGGGGGGGGGGAGAGATCTGCCTGCTTTAACGGACTAAACACCGCCCGGGCTATAGTCGCACAGTCAACCACAGTCTGTATAAATAATAATTTAAACATTTTTGTATAAAGTACCGTATAACATAAAACGCACGTGTTTTTTGGGGGGGTTTCCTAAAATTTAACGAAGAGAAAGTGTATTTGTGTTGGCCATTCGCGCATTTACCAAGTAAATAGTCGTGATGTTTCTGTTGAGTATTACCTAGTCTCCGAGGTACGAGATGCGTCACGATGTACATTTTCTACGTATCCGCACGATCGACTTCCGAGCACTCTCACTAGTTCCTCTCGCATGCACTGTAAGAGCTGATTTTATTTCTTTACCGAAATTCGCTACTCTAAACTGCAGCTCTATATTCAATGAAGAATGTGTCGCGAAGAACATTTTGACATTTATTCAACCATTTGTAATCATTTGAATTATAATAGTTTGTGATTTTAGGGTTTAGGGTTTCTATTTGTTATGTATTAACTTGTCAATCATTTTTTGTCACATATATGTAATCTCATATTACTTTATGGTACACAACGCAATGTTCTATTAAACGTGGCACAAGGGAATTACGTTTCTCCATTATTTCGTCTATTTCTCCTTCGCACAGAATGAACAAAAGCAAGAAGAACAACAACAAACAACCAGAACGAGACAAAGACTATTAACGAAAGAAGTCGAGGCAAAGACGAAGGCGAAAAACAGTAAAATTTGCAACCAAAAGACAAACAAAAACCAGGCGAAAACCTAAGTTAAAAAATAAAAAGAAGTGAATAAATGAAAAAAATAAAATAAAAAGTAGAARAAAAGAAAACTAACCAATACATGGTTGCTTCGATTCTTTAAATTACAGTAACTAAATTAAAAGACTAATCTCARACACTAGAAAAGTGCAGTACTTGAAAAAGATGAATGCGTGGTGATATTACATATCTATGTAAATAGYTATTTCCGATCAGACGTTGCGGTCTGCCGGATAGTCGAGTTTGCTGGGAAACATATATAAGTTCTAGAGCTAATAACTTTTTTTCAGTTGTCAAAAATAATGTATTTCTTGATCTTGGGTAAATTGAAAAGTGCTTTCTTAATAATGTTAAGTCTGAACCAAGGAAAATAATTTCCCTTTCCAAAAGATAACTATACAAATATTTATACTATATTTTGTGTTAGATGTGGCAATTGCTAAAGTGTGATAACCAAGCTACTTATCGACTGCCGGACTTCAATGTTCATCGATAATAAGTCCACTACCGCACTTGATATTCCTGAATTAACTTTACCCTTGACTGCCATTGAGCTTTTTGGATAACTCTTTATAAGTCTATTTGACCTCTACGTTTTGAGAAAATCTTGTAGTATTAACAATGAAAATAACTCATGTAAAGTCATTTTGATTCATGATTATTTTTGTAATCGACAGCTAGAGAACAGAAAACTTTGAGGCAAAAATAAGCAAGCAAAAAAACAAAAACAAAACAAAACAAAACAAAACAAAAAAAAGCAAAACAAAACAAAACAAAACAAAAAAACACACACACAAAAAAAAAAAAAACGAGAAACAATCAAAACAATAACCATGGCAACAACGACAGCAAAACTGTTTTCACTTGAAAGGTTAAGTAAGTAAAGCAAGGTAAAATGCTCCTTCTATTCTTGGGTATAGCTCAACAATCTCATTTCAAGTTTGGATTGTTAAACGAGCATTGGATAATCAAGCTTATATCTCTAATTTGAATAGATAAGCTACCAGCTTCAATGCTAAAATGGCTACTCATAWTTTGTACTTTATACATATAGCGATCATTTGGAGGAATTTTAACCTTTTCAAAAAAAATTCAGAAGAAGTCTTCCAATGTGTAAATTGACCTTTTGTGACCTTGGAAAATAGTTTAAATGGATTTTTTTATAAATCTCCATAAATTTAATTCACTGTACAGTAAAGTCGACTTATCAGTCTTAAAGATGCAACACTTTGTCGGCTATGAAGCGTTCAACTCGCTTTGATGCGCTCAATTTGCTTGATCAACTGATTTAGCCGGCGGAGTTGGAGACCAGGTCAAACTTAAGCAGYCACAATACAATTGTAATAAAAATCCTTGTATTTGTTGACTTTCTGCATCACCAGAGACACAAAACATCTAGACCGTCTGAAGTTGCAAACGTACTAAACAACCTTTGCAGTGTGTTAAAAATGAATTTGAAAACCTGTACCGCGCTAAGYTCATTGAATCGTAATTCTTTTGAGCAGCGTCAGCTTAAAAAGAGGAATCTTACCTGAGGAAACTTAAAACTTYCCTTGGCTTCCAGGCTTGTTAATTAAACACAAGCCACTGCATTCCAGTGTGTTGTTCTCTTTAGTAAATAAAATCCCAAAACTACGGTCAATTTATTAAAATTCATTAGGAAAGGAAATGCAGATTTGTGATTGGCTAATCGTATAACGATGATGCGATGTAGAATGAGATTAGAAAAGAGAGGTGTACAACAATACAAAAGTTTACAATAATAACGTTGAAAGACTTTAAATTAAGTGACGCGTTGCTATGTACTGTACTAGTTTGAGCCAGCTCAAAGCCTTTGGGAATAACAACTCTTTGTTAACAAAAAAGTCGAAAACAATTCAACTGCAAAATTGAAATTCCGGGTATTCTTTGAAGCTGTATTTGAACAGCTGTTATGTTTGTAGTTTTCATGGAATAAAGTTTCTTATGTGCCCAATTAAATTGTAATGATTTTATCAGAAGAATGATTCATTTGACATCAATGTTAGTATGATTAAAGCTGAGCTAGGTAATTAGCATATCAATCAAAATTTACAGTTTGGTTTTTAAGATGTCGGTGTGTGCTATAAACAACACTTCTCTTCCAAAAAAAAAATATTAAAATCAGAATGATTTAAGAATTTTAAGAGAAGTATAAAGCTTTTATAACAGTTTGACGGGCAGTGAGTCACTAGATTCGAGTTCATTATAAAGAGGAAAAAAAAGAAACAGACAAGATTTTACAATGACTTCCGATCTATGTTCCCCTATGTCTTGGCTTTGACATGACGATATAATTATCCTTTGAATCCGACAACATCATAGTTGATTTGTTCTTGCATCTAATCATGTTTATTTCGCTGTTCTTTTGTTTATTTGTGTTTGCTTGCTTGATACATAGTTTTTTTTGTTTTGTTTTTTTTTTTGCGGAGGCCAAGTGCACACAGTCTTTATAGAGTTGTGGTCTATCATACTTTTTGGTGTATGCAAAGCTTTTACCGACGCCCTGCTTAAAWTATACAAAAGACATAAACTATACAGTTATTTTTATTTGGAGAAGATCAATATCACCCTAAACCCCATACCTCAGTCGCTACTGCAATCATAATACATGTATACC